TTTCCCTGTGCTTCAGCCACCAGCAGCAAATAAGAAAAATAATTGATAACATCTATCTTGGTAATTTAAAGCAAGCCAGCTGCAGGCTGCCAAAGTTCAAAACTTAGGAGTGAGTTGCAAATAAGGTTGCCAACTGGGCCTCTTTAGCAAGGACACCCTGTATTATCATTATAGTCTGACTGTACCATTCTATAATTTGCTCGATTTCATACAGGATCCACATTGGATGAAGCAGGTCTGGTTGCTGGTTGATTCAATATCTAGTTATTATGTGTAGCATGTTCTATTTGTGTACTGCTATACTGCCATACAGGCCTTCTTCCTCTAATCCCAGCTCATCACCAGGTTCCTTTACAGCATATTCTGTAATCAATTCACTAAGCAGAAATATTTTAACTGCATTTGTTATTTTATATCATGGTTATTTCCCTGTGTAGCCAGGTGCTTGGCTAGAGACGTAGAAAGACAGTGTCTGCAGTGCTCTCTGTGCTCCCAATAGACTTCAGCTGAATGGGTTAACCCTACCTCGCCTCCATCCACCAGGGGGAGATGACAAGCAGAAGGATCTCAAGAAACTTGGTGGTTGGCAGCATTGAATCATAGGAGATGAAGTTTGGGAAAGAAACTTTACTAAGGTAGTCTATAGGCCACAATTCCCAGTGTGAGCAGGGTATAAAGGGGAGAATACTGGGGAACTTTTTTTTTTTGTGAGGAGACCAAGATGTGGAAAATCAATGCTTCTGTGTGCACATCAACCTGCCACAAGCCTGCAGCTGTGTGCAGAGGACTGGAGTCACTCCAGACAGATCCATCAGTGAGCTGACATCTGAACAGAGAGACCCCTGTTGCTGTATCACTAGGACTGGTGAGAGGACACTGCTACCATTAACCTGTTGCTGATAGCAGAGACTGAGCACATGGGGACTGCTCATCTAACTAGCAGCATTATTTACTGCATGCAGACTTTACTAGAACTGTACTCATGTGCATCACTGTAAAAAATGGGCCCCAACGCTAGCCAGCTTAAACACTAGGTCTAAAGACTCCTCATTCAAATAGCTGTTTCACAAGAACTTTGCATATTGTCAATAGTAAGAAGTACCTCTTTAAGGAGTCTTAAATTTCATTGCTGCCATTCATATAGAGTGCCCTCTAACAGGGGCGCCCCTAGGGTTGGTGTCACCCGGTATGGTAACACTTGTTGACACCCCCTCCAACGATCCCTGCAGGATTTATCAGATCTGCGGATTGAGGATAATGGATCAGAGTCTGATCCATTATCCTCCCCAATTGGCAGATCCGATCCATCCTGCGGGGATTGTCGTCTTGCAACCTATACAGGGTTAATTGATCTCTCCACGAGCTCCACGAAAAGGTAAGTTTTAAAGGAAGCCAACGATCCCTGCAAGATCTGCGGATTGGGGAGCATAATGGATCGGACTCCGATGCATTATGCTCAGTCCGCAGATCCGATCCATTCTTCGGGGATCGTCGGCTTGCTTTAAAACTTACCTTTTCGTGGAGCAGGTCCAGTGTCACCCCATGCGATAGGTGTCACACAGTGCGGCGTGTACCCCCCGCACCTGCCTAGGGACGCCCCTGCCCTCTAAAGTGGATATAGCCTACTGTTTATAGAGGAATTATGGCAGTATTGATCGTCATTGCTGTTAATGTTTTTTAATGCCATTACTTATTACTGATTTTGTGGATTACCAGGTTTACTCACATTTAGGTGCACAGAACTCCATTCTATGCTGCTATAGCCTAGTGAACATATTGTCTAGTGAACTGTAATTGACCTAATCCTTCACTTACTCATTTTTGTGCAACCTGTGATAGCTTATTGGATTCATTTATCGCTAACCAGTATGACGTTTTCTTTTAGATATTAAGCCTTTGTTGTTTGCATGGTATCTATATTTGTGCTCCCAGTTGCAGTGCAGTATTCATTTGTTTAACCTGGTGTATCAGTGGGGCTGAGGTTGTTCTCAAGGCAGAGGCAGAAGAACAGAGAACCCAGTCTACCATGCGGCTCCTGCAGGGGTAGTGCTACACCTGAAATCTAGATTCTAGGCAGTTAAAAAAAACAGCTTTGTAAATAAGAAAGAATCATTAAATGTATGTTTTAATTGGAAGCAGTGCAAGTTCCTGATCTGACTTGGTATGAAATCCTTGTATCCCCTGTACAATAAAGATCAGTACATCTGTACTCTGGCTGCTGCTTATATGTACATACACTGCAGGTGCCAGGAGCAATTAAGGATTTTGTTTATTTAGTATCTGACACTTGGTGGGCCACACACACAGTAGCAATGAAAGCCTTTTTTTTATCTAGTGCCCAACACTCAGTGGGGGCCACTTTTTGGGAACCAAGGGAATAGTCTTCACCATGTAACATGCTGAAAACAAAGTACACTTGAACCCAAAGCATTTTTTTGTAGGGAATGGTTTCAGATTTTCTTTTGTTGTATCCCACTGAAGGCTTGTCTTTATTTCCTGTCACAGATAAACAAAGCAATGTGAGAGGAAATCCCTCAAAAGAAAGGGCATTTCCTAAAGCAGAGGTTCTAACCCATCACCGCTTTATACAAATGAAGAAAAAAAAAGTAGCCTACAATGAGCCTTAAAGGCATAGATAAAATCCCACTGATTATTTTTTAGGAAGTTTGCATCTGTCTTAAACTATACGCAAGTAAGACTTGTTTTAATAGTAATTATACTGTGATGTTACAAGTATGTATGAATTGTATGCAGTTTATAATTGAATAATATGCTTCAAGATCATAGCCTTCAGTACCACCTGTTTGCATGTTCTCATGTTGTACAGGGGATAATTATTCTGCTTTCTTCTTGTGCCCTGTACTCCTGTGTTTGCTTTATGTTCCAGTCCAGTTTATAAAAGAAGAGTGAGACAGGCTTTTTCAAAAACCCTTTTTCTTTTTGTGCCTTGGCTTTCGTGGCTAATTAAAGAGCCGGTTGCTAAGAGATGATCAGAAGCATCACTGTGAGACTCTAATGTACTTTCTTCTTTTTCCCCTACCTTTAACATCTAGGTTGTGGACCAGAGTTTGAGGCTTCCACTAATCGGTACAATCAGTAATGGCCGCTCTTGAGAATTCTTCAGCACTTGAAGGGAAACAAAAGAGACTGGCAAGACAAACCCAAAAAGACAGTCTGAAATGGGCACGGGGATATGACTCGGGACAACAGACTATGCTGGGGAAAGCACATGAGTTTTTTCAGATTTGTGATATAGAGGACAAAGGCTTTATTGCTCGATGTGATATGCAGGTAAAACCAACATTTGATCATAAAAAAAAATGTTGTTGTGTACATAAATCTCCAGAAAGCTGTATTTATAAATAGCATCAAACCATAGATTTTAAATGCAGACAAATAATTTCTATAGCCCATGAATTGGAAAAAAATGTTTTGTGTGGTGTGGTTTTCTTTACATTAACTTTAGTTTGTTTGTTTTTTTTTCAATGATAGGGCAAGTAACTGTGCAAACAACAGTAAATGCATAGCACAGGTTTGCCAAGATGAATGTTAATAGAGAAACTAGCCAAGTATTATTATAGTATTATTATTATTTGAATTCTTGATGTTTTTGCCCATATGTTTTTTCTTTTTTTTGTCTAAGGGTTTATTCTAAAATGGGTAATTTATTGCTTCATATCCCTTTTCACTGTGTTCACCAGCTTCTAATATATCCCATAACCCTAAAATGTATTAGTATTTTACAGCATGACCATATTTATAATTTTTTAATTACAGCATTAAGTTTAAAATGAAGGGAAATAACTAAATAATGATCCTAAGAAAAACTTTCAGTGTGTTGAAAGACTTGTTTGCCTGTTCTTGCATCCATTAAATGACTGGTGCCTACAATAAAATAGCTGTGAAAGCGTGAAAAATAAACTTCAAATCTGCTTGTAAATATTGCCATAACCAAATATATAAAATAGAATAGATAAAAACACAAAATGATATGTATGTATATGTATATTATTGGTATTGATTAAGGGAAGTACAGACAAAATATTGACCACTGGAAGTTCCAGAGGAAGAACATTATATTCTAGTGAAGAGTCCTCTTCATGAATGCATGAGTTAAATGACAACCTGCTTTTTTTTCCAGTATCAATGGAATACAAGAGGCTATTCAATGTTATTATGTGCATTATATTGATGTTATTGTAGGATACTGGGATGTGTTTATTTCTGGGTATTTTAAATGATGAGAAATGTTTGGTTTTCCATAAATGGAGAGTTTTTTTTAAAAAATGTATTTTTTATTGTTTAGTTAATTAGTTGATATTTACTGTTTTTTTATAGGTTGCATGTCTGATAATATAAAGCACATCCAAGGAAAGGAAACACTGAAACCTAAACTGACCAAACATTTTATGTTTTTGTGATAGATCATATTTGTATTAAACTTTTTTGTTGTAAGATCTGCAAAAAAAATGTAATTTAACCTAGGTGGGCATTGGGTAGATATGTGTAGCCATGGCTCAGCCATAGAGTGCTAGACCTAAAAAAGGTGATTGTTGACTTATTGCTGTCAACGTTTCTAACTATTGCCTATACATAGAAAGCTGACATTGTGTTACTGAATCAATGATTAAAAAATGTTGTCATTGTCAGTATCATAAATTGTGTTGTAATAATATCCCTGATAGCCTAGGGATCTCATAGTGTAAATGTTTGTTCTAGCAATAAAATAGCTTTTGCACTTCATTACACAAGTTTAGCAGTTGGGTTGAAAATCTATCACATACAGTAGGAAATGTTTGGTACACACAAATGAGTGGAACAGGTGATTAGGCAATATGATTGAAAGACCTGTCTTGAGCAGTGCACAACAGTTGCAGCCAGGGGCAGACTGACAACGCATGGGGCCCCCGGGCAATAGGGGATCATGGGGCCCCTGTGTCCGCGCCCACACTCAAAACCACACACAAAAAAGCCTATGAAAGGTACCAGGGGCATCTCATGGGGCCCCCTGCTGATCCTGGGCCCTCGGGCAGTGCCCAAATACCCGAATGGTCAGTCCGCCCCTGGTTGCAGCTCTGCACTAGTGTGCAGTAGGTTCAGATCTTTAATAGGTGAAGCTCCTAAACAGTGTCTAAAAGTTGCAGGTCTTAAGCAGTGCACATTAACAATTGCAGCTTTTTAACAGAACACAACAGGCACAACTCAAAAGTAAGCAACAGGTACAGCTCTTAAATGATGTGCAACATATGGAACTCTTGAACAGTGCATACTCACACTCTCTCACTCAATCACTAAAATATTTTGTGACTGGGGTATGCTCATCTGATATTGCAGCAGCCAACAAAAACAGTTTTAATGCACAAGGTTTTTTTTTATATCAAGTCCATAGCATAAAACAAATAAAACATCTAATCATATCAACCACAAACGAAACTCAGACTAGTTTCTGAAAACAGGATGCCCCCTAATGGTTTCTGCAACACAAACAGGCATCGCCTGTACCTTTTTGGTGTTATGTCCGCACTCAGTCCTTTCACCCAGCAGCAGGTTTCCACAGCAGTGTGTGAGAGAGAGCCCTTAGCATCTTTTAACTCACATACAGGTAGGTCCATATATATTTGGACACAGGCACAATTTCCATACATTCGGCTCTGTATGCCACCAGAATAAATTAAAAGGAAACAATCCAAATGAATTTGAAGTGCAGACTTTCAGCTTTAATTCGAAGGGTTGAACATAAATATCAAGTACAAATTTTAGGAACTGCAGCCATTTTTATACACAGTCCCTCCATTTTCAGGGGCTCAAATATAATTGGATAAATAAATATAATCATAAATAAAATGTTCATTTCTAATATTTTGTTGAGAATCCTTTACTGACAATGACTGCCTGAAGTGTGGAACCCATGGACATTACCAAAGACTGGGTTTCCTCCTCTCTGATGCTTTGCCAGGATCTAACTGTAGCTGACTTCAGTTGTTCTTTGTGGGTCTTTCTTCCTTTAGTTTTGCCTTCAGCAAGTGAAATGCATGCTCAATTGGGTTGAGATCAGGTGATTGACTCGGCCATTGTAGAATATTCCACTTCTTTTCCTTCAAAAGCTCTTGGGTTGCTTTTGCAGTTTGTTTTGGATCATTGTCCATCTGTACTGTGAAGCGCTGTCTAATTAACTTTGCTGCATTTGGCTGAATCTGGGCTGACTGTATATCTCTAAACACTTCAGAATTCATCTGGCTGCTTCTGTCTTCTGTCACATCATCAATAAACACCAATGACCCAGTGCCACTGGAAACCATGCATGCCCATGCCATCACACTGCCTCCACCATGTTTTACAGATGACGTTGTGTGCTTTGGCTCATGAGCTTTTCCAAGCCTTCTCCGCACTTTTTTCTTCCGTCATTCTGGTACAGATTAATCTTAGTTTCATCTGTCCAAAGAATGCTTTTCCAGAATTAGTCTGGCTTTTTTAGATGTGTTTTGGCAAAGTCTAATCTGGCTTTTCTATTCTTCAAGCTTATGAATAGTTTGCACCTTGTGGTGAACCTTCTGTATTTGCTCTCGTGAAATCTTCTCTTGATTGTAGACTTTGACAATGATATGCTCACCTCCTGGAGAGTGTCCTTCACTTGTCTGGATGTTGTGAATGGGTTTTTCTTTACCATAGAGAGGATCCTGCGATCATCTACCACTGTTGTCTTCCATGGGCGTCCATGCCTTTTTATGTTGCTGAGCTCACCAGTGCGTTCTTCTTTCTTCAGAATGTACCAAACTGTTGATTTGGCCAGTCCTGATGTTGCTGCTATCCTTCTGATGGAATTGTTTCATTTTTGAAGTCTTACAATGGCCTGTTTCACGTGAATGGACAGCTCCTTTGAATGCATGATATAGGTTCATAGCAGTAGATTCCAAATGCAAGTACCACACTTAGAATTAACTCCAGACCTTTTACCTACTTAATTGATGAAGAAATAACTAAGGAGTAGCCCACACCTGGCTATGAAACAGCTTTTTATTCAATTGTCCAATTACTTTTGGTCCCTTGAAAAAGGGGGGATGGCTACTCTTAAGAGCTGTAATTCCTAAACCCTTCCTCCAATTCCAATTTGGATGTACATACCCTCATATTAAACCTCAGAGTGTGCACTTTCAGTCTATATCCATTATATAACTATAGCTTGAATATGGTTTGGCAAATACCTGAAAAAAACTAAAATTGTGCCGGTATCCAAATATATATGGACCTAACTGTATATAATAGTCTGTGCACAGATGAGACCATTAATGATATCTGCCTACTGGTGAGAGGTGGACCTAGGAATGGAGGCTTTATCCCACTCAAAACTCTAGAAAGCCTCCAGGCTGTAAGAACCTGAAAACATATTAAAATTCTAAAAAAAAACAGAAAAAAGTTTATTTTTCAACCCTAAACCCTGGAGACACTCACCTTGTGTATGTGAAAAAGCTAGATGACACATTTACACTTTCCACAATCCTGCCCACCAGTGCCTCGCAACATATATATGCATGCATACTGTACACACTTCTAAAGCAACTAATTCTAAGAAGTCAAATCTTGTTTTAGAGGCTCCATGGTGAATTACCTCTTAGTCAGGAAGAACTGGAAAAGGTATTCGACACCCTGGATACTGATGGAAATGGCTTTCTGACCTTAGAAGAATTCACTACAGGATTTAGTAAGTTTTTCACTATTCATTGTTAGAGTGTACTGAACTTTGGTGTATTCATAGAAAGCTAATAAAATATAAAGAGATAAATATATGTGAATAAAACTACAAGTCCATACCTGGGTTTGTACAAAGCCCTTGTACACAACATGGACTGTGGCTAGGGCTACAGAGTGATTTTATTATTGTAACCCATTTAACAGACACCCAGTGCTTTGTGCTACAGACTTTTTTCTGAAAAAGTTGAATTTTTGAGTTGTCACCAAAATAATAATATAAGGGATGTCTTCCAATGTAGAATAGTATTGAGGTATGAGCTAAGAAGGGATCTTCATCACTTTGGTGAATTGTCCCCTCATTTCCTGTTGCATCTACACGACAAGTAGTGAATGAAAATCTTCCAAATGAGACACACAAAACACTTAACAAGGGTGTTAATCCTTGCCTACTATATACAAACATAAAATATTTTTTCTGGCCTTAAAAGTTTACGTTTTTTAAATGAAATCCTACCTACACAATCAGAATCTTAGAAAGTTGCTCATACAGTATCACAAGAAAGTAAAATGATAAAGACCAAGGTAATTTTAAAAAACTGAAGTATTCATGATACAGTTGATCAATGTTACCATTTCAGGTCAATTTCTACATGGAGAGGAAATCCCAGCACATGAAACACCTCATGGGGAGTTTGTTGAGCAGCTAGATTTCGAAAATACTTATCAAACAAAATGGGAAGAAAATAATCAGGAAACCCAAGAGGAGGATGAAAACACCCAATTCTACAACCTAATTGACAGCTTAGGGGCCAACAAAATTTTTTGGAAGAGTAAGTTCAAAATAGATAATGTAGTAATCAGGAAGCAAACAGCCCACCACAATCATATTGTATATGAAAAACACCTGTTGTGTACTGTAAAGATATTTTTGTGTTACATTCACCTGCATATACATTAGTTAACCAAAAGTTTTTGGGACACCTAACCATCATACTTATAAGAGCTTTTTTGGACATCTCATTCCAAAGCCATAGGCATTAATATACCCCCTTCCCCACACACACACACACACATACACCAGACTGTCAACTGTCACCTTCCCTCCTCACCTTCAGGCGCTCCCTGAAAACCCACCTCTTCAGGGAAGCCTACCCCACCCTCACCTAACAGCCGCTGCCCTTCCCTCCTCCTACCACTCCATCCCCCCACAGCCGTTTCCTCCTGTGCCTCTACCCCCTCCCTCCTAGATTGTACGCTCGAAAGAGTAGGGCCCTCTAACCCCTCGTGTGCTGTTTGATTTACTGTTCTGTTTTCATGTATTGTCCCCCCTCTATTGTACAGCGCTGAGCAAACCCTTTGGCGCTATATAAACTCGATAAATAAATAAATAATTAAATAAATACACACTAAAGCTTGTGACCTTGACACTTTTCAGGGATGAGGTTTACACATGATTTTGGAGTGGGTCTGTGGAAATTTGTGTCCACTCAGGCAACAGGACAATTGTTAATTTAGACACAGACTTGGACAAGAAAACCTGGTTTGCAGTCATCATTCCTATTCTTTCAAAGGTTGAGGTCAGGGCGATGTGGGCCACTTGTGTTCCTCCAACCCTTACTCATCATACTATGTCTTTATGGACCTTGCTTTGTCCACAGGAGCACAGAGAGGCTGTAACAGAAAATGGCCCCTCTCCCCCAAACTGTTCCCACTTTTTGGAAACACAAAATTGACTAAAATGTCTTTGTATGCTGTAGCATTAAGTTTACCCTTGTTAATAGATTCAGGTTAAAGACCTGAACTCAACAATATCAGAGATGCCCTATACTTCTGACCATGTAGTCATGGTGGTCAAGTGTCCACAAATGTTAGTCTATATAGTGTATTTTACTTGTTTTTACAGAGGGTTAAACGTTAATAGTAGTTTATTGTCAAGATCATTTGCTTCTTGTTAAGAAATATGTAAATGCTTGAAAGTCTATACTCTGGTCACAGATTTACTCTAAGGTGTTAATGTGTTTTTAGGTGCATTTATTCTTTAAATACTCATACTACCCTAGTTTCTCTGGCTTTGTTCAAAAGAAATTAGCAGAAGCTAGACAACCATGGATCCTTTCCCATGATATGGACAGGGGGCTGACCCTACAAGCATCAGAAGTATCATGGGAATAAAATTTTACAAGAAAAATACAAAATAACTACTTTTTAAACAATATGTCCCACCTTTCCTTTAAATATAAAAGTAAGCCTTGATTAGTTATCGCTATTCTTGGACCTCCTGACTGCCTATTATTTCTGAAGCTGTCATGAAAGTCACAGTAAAGCTAAACCGATGCAGCTTTACTGGTGTGGCACAAATAGAAAATTCAGGAGTAGAATAATACTAACTTCTCTCTGAGGTTTTTGCTTTTGTGACAGGCTCCTTCACATCTACTGTGCAAAATAGGAATTGTTTATGAAGCTCTATGACACCAGTTCACATAAGATGAGTTGAAGTCAGGGGGCTCATGAATAAACAATTCCTAGTTAGACGTGTAAATACAGATAATGGCTTTTCAGTACAATCACATAAAACATCATATTTTTTTTAACTTCCTGAGAAAAGTCTTTATAGTTTAATGTTTATGGCCAAACAGCAAGACAAGTTATTACATGCCACATAGTTCATTTCAGGATAAAAGTGGCGGCACAAACAGTAGGATTCTGCTTAAAATATATTTGAATATATTAATGTGTTAAATGTTTGTTCCTTCCTGTAAAGGTTATTAACTTTAATTCTAAAGTGTTTAAAGGAAAACCATCATAGATTTGCATTAATAAAAGGCAGAAATTAGGGTTTTTTTGGGGGGTTTTTTTTTAGTGATTCTGCAGGTCTGCCTGATTTCTTGTCCTCCCTTTCTGCAGAGATCATGTACTGGATCTCCTGTTTTGGCATTTAGTCACGTGTCCAAAATGAAGGGAGATCAGAGCAACATTTTCCATCTGAAATCACCTCCTAGAAATAGAGCAGTGTAAGGTCTGAAAGCAACCCTTTTCTTTGCCAATGTTTAATGAAATTCCTAGTTATTCCCTGTTGGGTGCCACCAAACCAGCAGAGGGTGAAGCCAGGCTGTCAATTACACCTCTTCCCTTCCTGTGACAGTCATGTGTCACTACTCTCTGTATATATTAGCATCTGGGAGGGGGGAGGGGGGCTTAGATGACAAAAGAAATCAAATTTTACATATCAGCAACAGTGCTGCTTATGCCTCATACACGTAATGAGAAGAGTTTTTTTTAGCATGCAAGTCTCATATCAAAAATACAGAGCTTACTAAAGCTATGAAAATTCTCGTAGCATAGAATACAACTTCAGAAGTGATGTAATGTATTGAATTGTAATGTAATGTAATTCTTTCATTTCTGAGCATGCTTGGTTTTGATCTTCCATTTTTTTTTCAAATTAATACTGTACTGATTAAACAAAAATAGTTCATTCTGGTATTGTACAAGAAAACATTTTGTGTTTGTTACTTTAGATAATTTCACATGAACTGTTGTGATTGGCTCTCGAAAGCTGTGTACTAACAATTAGATTATCGGACAATGGCTTTGAATGCAGTATTTTTCATCTGATTTTGTGATCTTGTGTACTGGGCATTAGTCTGCACAATTTGAGGAAAGGAAGAGAAAAAAGACTGCATCGTCTTTTTGAAAGTTTTGCGCTTATGACCAAAATTCTACACCTTGGTTATGTGATTTGTACCTAAGGAAAGGTTCCAAGTTTGGATTATAGGATTCTTCCCATCAACAGAATGTATATGCTCTGATGCTTATGGTTTTGGCAATATGAGCAGTAAAAGAAGGAGCCTGGAAAAGCAAATTCTCCAAAACATTCAAGATTTTTCAAGCCCTCTAATTATTCTTCATTAATCACTCCCTGAAGAATTGGGATGGCTACAAGCCTACCCCCCTACACACACACACACACACCACCAACACCACCACAAGCTTTTTATTGCTTCCTGTGTCCCCATTGGAGATCTTGCAATTGTCTCCGAGACACGAAGTGATGGGAGATTTCTCCAGCGAGGTCTCATTCAATCAACAATAAAAAAAAATAGCACAGGTTCAAATGCTATCCACTTCATCAAAACTAAAAAAGAAAAAAAGTTTTGGCTGAAGTTACAGTTTAAAGCGAATTTCTGTAGACCAACTAACAGATAAAAGTCCTTCCCAGAAACTTTTTAAGCAACTAATTTTATCTAGCAAACTTTATGTATTATCTTTGTTTCACTGTTATGGATGCACTTAACATGCTGGTATCATCAAGGCACACACCTCCACTGGGACCACAAGTCCCATAACCCATTCTGCCTCCTTTCTATTGTCATCTTGTGGCTGACTATAATCATGCTGCTCCTTTGGCCTAAAAAACTACACATGGATGTGGAAGTAACAGGGAGATGAGATCAGAAATTGTTGTGTGACATTGCCATTGTTGCACAGGCACAAGCTTTATTATAGGTTTTGTTTTTTGTTTTTACTGCTTGGTGAGGTTAACATATACTTCTTGTCTTAAAATCAGAACATAAAATAAGTTGAAATCTCTTGAAAATGTCAAATGTTTTGGAGAGTATAGGCAATGGTTAAAACCGTTATCTTAACGGTCTCTATCCCTATTCGAAGTTGTATTCCCATTTCGTGTTCTGGTGACAATTATAAAATGTTGGATTTCCTATAATTTTGTTCTAGTGACAATGGGCACCAGGACAAATTATCTGCCAGATGAAGACACAGGCAGACCTAAAATCCTGACAAAGATTCTAAACTTTTCCTACTCTGTCAAAAACTAAAAAAAAAAAGATGTTTGGGCCATATATACATTTTTAAACCTTACAGTGCTAGTATCCTTAGAAAAGGATCTCCTTAACTTCCTATCCCACTGGATGTAGTCAAGTAGATAGGAAATGAAGACAGATCTCTCCAATAGGAATACAGACAGCGTTGAAGGAAAGGTTAAAACCTTTGTCTGATTGCATTCCTGCTTCAGAATACCTATACTGAACATACTGCATACTCAGAAGTGCTTCGGGAAATTTTCTGTTTGTTTGTAACTCAGAATATCCATCTTGTTCTCTGTTCCAGTGAGAATGCCATTAAGCGTTTATGGATGGATTTAAGGAAGGATGAGCCTCACCTGCTGCCAAGCTTTGAACATTTTCTTGTAAGAGTCTTTTCACAGCTCCAGGAAGCCAATGAGGAGAAGAATGAAATGGAATGTGCACTCAAAAAGTCAGTAAACCAAGTTTTCTCTTCATATCACCAAATAAGTTCCATTATTGTATGATGGAGGTTCTAAAATTGAATGATGCACGGCAGTGTCCAAAATTTCCATTCACTTTAAATCCTAGAACAAGCTGTGACCACAAACCGACCAAAAGGCTGTCCATGTTTAACCAAAAGTGAATCTCTTGTTTTAGATAAGAGTCATCCTTATTATCTTTTTATATGTAGCACTACCCTCTTGAGGGCCGCTGGATTTGATGGGTCCCCTTAAGGTCTTTATGGACAGGAAACATGCATTTTCCACACTTTCATTCAAAGTCAGTAAAACTGTCCTTGAGCTTGTTTTTGTTGTTTTTATTAAAGGGTTAGCAACTTGGATGGGGTCCAGGGATGTATAGGCTGCCCAAGGAACTGTAAAACTTGAGGATAACTTCTTAGCGAAAGACTGCATACTGCACAAAAAAATGTGGACCAAAAAGAAACAACTGTCTCTTTAACCATTAGCCGCCTGGCCAATGGCCGTTTGGCAGCTTCAGAAGTGCTGCGGCATTCCGGGTGCACGCCATTTGGCGTGCACCCGCACATGCGCAGTTTGCGGTAATGCAGAGCCTCGCAGCGGCGCGATCTGTCACCCGCCGTGTACCTCGGACACGGCCGATGACAGATCTGAGTACCGGCCCCCGTTGCTGGTACCATGTGACCTGCTGTGACCAATCACAGCAGGTCACATGACAGTTGTATACAATGGATGGCTTTCATGCCATCCATTGTATACTACTGCCTAGCTGTGAATGGTCACAGCTAATCACATGCACATGTCATGTGATTAGCTGTGACCAAATCACAGCTAAGCACAAAAAAAAAAAAACCTGAATGAATCGATTTCATTCAGGTAAATACTTGCTTATAGCAAAGTAATTCTTTGCTATAAGCAAATTGTGTAAAAAAAAAAAAAAAAAAATACTGATCACTTCCCCAAAGTAGTACAATGTTACTATGGTAACATTGTGCTACTTTGGTCATAGTACAATATGAAAAAAAAATCTTAAAAAAAAGTAAATAAATGTAATAAAAAATTAAAAATAATAAAAAAAAAAAAAAAAATATTTATATTTTTTTTTCATACTGTCACCAGTCAGTGTCCCTGTTCACCGCCATGCCAGTTATATGATGATGCTGTACTGCACTGGTGACAGTATGTAAAAAAAAAAATAGTGAAAATAATTTTTTAAATTTTTTTATTTTCTGAAAAATTATGACAAAAAAAATACAACTTCAAAAAACTCGCCATTCCTCTTATAAAGTACGTTGGACTGTTTACTCTGCAAAAAGGGGTCATTTGGGGGGATATTTGTACTGTTCTGACATTCTTGGACCTCAAGAAATTAGATTGGCTGTCAGTACTTCAGGATTGATCAATTTTCAGATCTATACCATAGTTTGTAAACTCTATAACTTTCCTACAAACTAAATAATACATCCTAATTTGGGTTATTTTCACCAAAGACATGTAGCAGAATACATCTCGGCCTAAATTTATGAAGAACAATTATTTTATTTGTAAACTTTTATAACAGAAACAAAGAAAAACGTGTTATTTTTTTAATTTTTGGTCTTTTTTTTGTTAATTTAGCAAAAAATAAAAACCCCAGCGGTGATTAAATACCACCAAAAGAAAGCTCTAGTTGTGTGAAGAAAATGATAAAATTTTAGTTTGGGTACAATGTTGTATGACCGCGCAATTGTCATTCAAAGTGTGAGAGCGCTGAAACGTGAAAAATGGCCTGGGCAGGAAGGTGTAAAATTGCACGGTATTGAAATGGTTAAGGAGCACTGATGTCCTCTTGAGTGTACCGCCTCAGACCCCAGATTAATCCTTCCTCTTTCATGCTGTCATGAGGGTGTCCAAGGGATTCCAAGATCTGCAGTTAAGTTGTCCCGGGTAAGAACTAGTTGGGTAATGCACCTGACTGGCCTCTCCCTTCTCTGGCCCAGGGGACTGTCCTTTCCTATAGCTTGGTGGGTTGTAGCTGCTTTCAGGCCTTACGCTGGGCTGGCTCCTTCCTTGCTGACAGGCTGTCCTCCCTAGGAGACATGTGGTACAGTGACACAGATTCTTCACTCCAGCACCAGCTTGTAGGTAGGCCCCAGTCCCTGGAGCCCAGGCTACACACTCTAGCAGCTTCCTTCAGTCCATCTTCCACCCGACTCAACACTCCCCTGCTGCATAGGCTCTGCCACATTTAAGGGTTGCCCTTAGACACTATTCCCGGCCTCCTGCCTGGGGATTGGCCAAGTTCCCCTAAACATGCAAATCTAGGCCTCCTCCCCTCTCCAGGGCTCCAGAAACCCTGACCTGTAGAGCCTCCCAGCCTGTTCTGAGGCAACTGCTCTAGTTCACCCCCATTCTGACTCATCCCAGGCTTCTAGCAAGCCTCTGACTCAGAAAAAAAACAATCCTATCTAGCAAAACCTAGAGGACACTAAATTTATATCCTTTTACATGAACCAATATATATCAGTTCTTCTTTAGCCCTATTTAGAATCTCATATTTTCTTATTGTCATTGATCTATCCATATTTAGGTGTTTTATATACTCCTATTTACCCAATTTTTCCATGCCTACTTTTCTATATTGTTATTCTCCAGTTCTTTCACCAGTTCATTATTTCTCTCTGTGAATTCTTCTCCATTTAAATGCATACCTGTTCTCCTTTCTGAGATCATTCTCACCCACCTACATCCATGCCCAATGTCCTTTATTGTCATTTCATTCCACTTTCATCCACGCCTGCTCTCCTGTCTGGTCATTCTCCTATACTTTCATCCATGCCGACTCTCTTCTCTCTGTCATTATATTCCTTCACTTACATCCATGGCCACAATCATGTGTGGTCATGCTCCTCTATTTCCATCCATCTATGGCTATTATTCTTTTATCTGTCATCATTTTCCTCCTCCATCCACACTTACTTTCCTTCCCTCTGTCATAATTTTTCTTCACTGTCATTCAGACCCAATTTTTATCTCTGGTTATTCTCCTCTTCCTCTGTCTATGTTCGTTCTCCTTCCCTCTGTGGCCATTCTCCTCCTCCTCTATCAATGCACCTCTCCTCCCCTCTATCATTATTCTTCTTCTCCTCCATCCATACCCATACTCATTCCTTCTATTATCATTCTCTTCCATTTCTATCCTGGAAGGATCAATTAAATAAAAAAAAAAAACAGATTTAAACTATAAATCTACTATTCAATGTTAGAAACCAACAAAATGACTAGACACTAAAAATGCACCGTATCCCAAAATGACTTCAACAGAAAGACATTTGCTAGAGCCATTAAGTCTTACAGGCAGCCATGTGATCCTATTTTCTGCTGCTAAAATCTGACATCACAGCTGCTGGTCCATGGTAGACCAGAGGTGCACTAAATGCAGGGATTCATCTGTGTTTCTATATAGAGGGAAGTATAATAAGTGTCAGGTATAAGTGGACAATCACTGTCTACATAGTCATGGACACTTCAGTCGGCAAAATATGCTGCTGTTTTGGAAAAAAGAGTTGACATTTCTAAAGATTATCAAACCATTTTCTTTCTAACCAGGAAAATCGCCACGTATGATGTTGAAATACAGAATCTGTATGAAGAGATGGAACAACAGATAAAATCAGAAAAGGAACAATTTCTCTTGCAAGTAGGTTCCTAGCTAATGTTTTTATTCCATAATGGCACATCATCATGCTGCTTCAACTTGCTTATGCATTCCTATAGACTTGCATAGGGAGAAAAGCACTTCTGATTCAAACAAAAGCCAAATGACACTCCAACTTCATACTTGGTGGGTCCCTGCAACCACTGATCTGCTACGACACCTAAAAAACACATACTTGTTCTGAAACCACTGTTTCCAGTAAAGGGTACTGTAATGCTACAGCATACAAAGACATTTTAGACAACTGTGACTTTCCAACCTTCTGGCAATATTTTGGGGAAGGTCCTTTTGTGTTCCAGGATTACTGTGCCCCTGTGCCCAAAGTCAGCTCCATAAAGAAATTGTTTGACAAGTTGGTTTGGATGAACTCAAGTGGCCTGCACAAAACTCTGACCTCCACCCTACTGGACACCAATGGGTTGAATTGGAATGCCAATTGTAAGCCAAGTCTTCTCATTTAACATCAGTACCTAACCTTATAAATGATCTGGCAGAATGGGCACAATTTCCCTCAGACACACTCCAAAATCTTGTGAAAAGCCTTACTAGAAGTATGTAGGCAGTTATAGCTGCAAACGCAGGGACTCCATATTAATGCCCATAGTTTTGGAATGGAATGTCCATCAAACTCATATAGGTGCAATGACCAAGTGTGCACAAACGTTTAACCAAATTTTGTATCACTCCTGGAGAGATCTAAGCTCAGAACCCAGAGCTGTAAAGCAAGAATGTTAACCACTTTTCTTGTGCCAGCTTCCCAGATATCCCTCCAAGATGTTTATTTTCTATATCTAATATCAATGTAAAATAAAGATAGGAGCTGCCAGAATTTTCATTAGAGGTAATTGTTTATCTCATAAACAAAATTACTGCCTAATGTGCCTAATCTAAACTGTGGGAGAGACAGCTAATGGAACACTTTTTGTTTTTGCTTTGCAGGAAATACAACTTAATTGAGTCTTTGTAGAAAAATACACTTGAAATGGGAAACAAATATAAACTCAATGCTGTACGCCTTCTACTCATTGCTAGCAGCAATGATTATTTCTGCTTTCTCTAAAGCTTTTAATGGTCATTTGAGTGAGAGATGAACAATCAGAGAACAAAAAAAAATCTATAATGCATCTCTCATTTCGAAGTTAGTCATCACACAGAAAATTGTGACAGCAACAGTTTCATATTTACTGAATCCTAGAGGCAAAGTGTACCTCTATTCAGGGCCTTATAGGCTCATTCACATCATGGTAAATGTGTTAAGACGTATAATGCACATACACTGGAGTGCAATTTTACATTCCATTGCTTGCTGGAAACCTTTGAAAATACAGTTGCCATTCCCCTTTTTTCTTCCTGCAGTGCTCAGGTCTAAGCAGTCAGTCACCAGGCCTGAACGCTTTCTGGCTGGAAAATAAAATAGGAAATGAATCCTGTGTAAGCACTGAGGCTATGTGATACAAGCTACCTCTGCGATTTGCAAAAATATATACCTTCAGCCAGGTAAATCAAAGGATTAACACCTATTACAGTCTCCCCACCACCAAGGGAATTGATTATGTAATTGGAACAGGGTGTTTCCACAAACTTTCCCTCCTTCTATTTTATTCTTGTTTAAATAAAGTGATTGTAAAGCTACAATTTTATTTTTTTTATAATAAACATGTCAATGGTTTTGCCAGAGCAGTCCTGATCCTCCTCTTCTGGAGTCCTTCGCTGGCACTCTTGGCTCCTCCTGCCTGTTTGCTAGCGGGGATACTCCTGCTTGTTCGATCCTGAGCCATGTTGTGTGTGCCCCAGTGAGACTTCATTGTTTAGGTACAGGTGGAAAGCACAGACTTACCATCCAGCCCTACTGCTGGCAGCCCGTAAAACTCTATGAGAGCCTGACAGCTGCAGCGGCTGGACAGCACACTAAGCAGTTGGCTCTATGCGCCCAGAATGAATGCAGACTGCTTACATTCCAGGTATTCTTCCCGGGGCTCATACTGCCCTTAATATTAATACAGTGTGGTGCATTGTCCAACCCTATCAAGATGCATCAGCTGTCAACCTCTCATACAGTTTTACAGGTAGCCAGCCATGGGACTGTGCCTTCCACTTGCACCTAAACACCGCAATATCATTCACCCAGGCTACTCACCCAGTGTGAATGGGGTCTAACATCCACTTTGATAAATTACATGCTGATTGGATTAATGGGACTGAGGTACCTGTGTGGCTATAAATATTGGGGTATATTCCTAACATTCAATAGAACTTCCATTAGCTATAAAACATCTTCAGCATAAACAAGTCCTACTGGATACTCCATGTCTCTGACAGAGGAACAGGCAGTGGGGGAGCAAGGCAAAGGAAAATATCAATAGGTGGGGGAGTGTGAACTTTCAAGAGAATCTGTTAATTTGCCCAGAATAGGCAAATGACAGATTCCCTTTAAGAATAGACATGCTTTAAATATTGAATAGACGTAAAATATTTTTGACCTATTGCTAGTACATTTTCATATTAATGTTTCAAGGGCTGTTATTATATTTTTTTTAGTTACAAGATTTATTAATTTATTGCTGTCTTAGTGACACTATATTTATATTTTAATCAGGACACTGAGCGATATCAAACTCGCAGCCATGATCTGGAGGAGAAGCTGCTGAACAAAGAGCAGGAATTGGACCATCTCATCCACAAGCAGAAGAGGGTGAATATATCTCATTACCAATTGCATAAAACAGTGATACCATTCAATATGAAAAGTACCTGTGATTTGCTGACACTGGAGAACCCCTTTCTAGAAAGTACCAGTATATCAGATTTATAGCATCCCTTTACAACGTGTGACATTATTGAGATTTGCAGACCACACTGGAAATCACTGCCTGGCAACCTACTGGCTACACCATTGTCATATGGGGTTCTTTCATTTATCAATATCCCAATTACAGTGGAACTCTGGGGAAATAGCTAAATACATAAAAGAAATGTCTATAAGGGTGCTGTTTTATCTACCAAAAGATTTACATTTCTCTCCACCCAGATCTAAACTTTATACAGCTCTGCCACTCAATACAGCCCTGTCTGGCAGTTGAAACCTACTTTTTTAGCTGCAGTTAGAACTTACAGGTCCCTCCACCCCGCCCTCTAACTGGACAGTAAAGTGTAAGCAGCAGGCTTAAAAGCTCATTTCTGATCCTATCAGCATATTCCTTGATAGCACATGAGCACTGTAGCACAACTGGCCGAGTCTGATTTTCTAAGAGATTGAGAATGTTTTTCAAAAAATGTTGTGAAATATTTACTTTAGTTTTCCAGTCATGTGAAAAACAAATCCCTTTTCACTTTGGCTACTCAATCATGTGTAGATACAAGTAGTAAACAGGAATTTGCCTTATACATTATTAGTTAATTGAAGTAAATAATCACAAAATTTATTGAATAAAGAGTCTATATTCCTTTAGTAAATAAGCCCAGTTTTGTCCTTGCCCTGTTTCTCCCTCTCCCTGTTTGAATTCTGTTGCACAGGGACATCAAAAGCTTGATATCAGGTACTTATACTGCTTGCATTTAAAAATGGTTGTGGGACAGTGAATGATCTGTTCCACAGCTAATTGGACTAAAAAAAGGGAGCAACATGGAAGTTTGGATAAAGGTTAGTTTGGGGGACACCAGAGCTTATCTCTATTTCCAACAAAACTCCCCATGCATTCCAGCATCCCCAACATTTTAAAAAGACTGCTTCTTTTTCACTTCATTTCTGTAGGCCATGATGGCTCATCCAAACTGCATGCATGTGCAGTGAACTCTCTCTCCCTCTGCTGCTAGTGGTAGAAAGAGCACACTGTGCATGCACAAAGTTTGAATAAGCCAGGAAATAAGCAGGAAAGATGAACTAACCCTTTAAACATTAATAGTTAAAACACAGCTTCAGTCATAGTTTGTATTTCATTTTGATCAGGAGACAGAACCTCTCTCAGATTTTTATTGCTGTCTGTTTCCTTATAGGGGGTATGAAGTAAAAATGGCAGCCACATAGATCAATTTAAAATTAGCAAAAGGGGGAAAGAGAAGGGTGTGTAAGTTAGGTAGGTGGGTGGTACTTCCTTCATGTTCCCCTCCTCATTGGGTGCCAGGTTTGGGTCATGTAAGAGGCCTTCACCGGGGTGGGTTCTGGGCTACCTAGGCACCTTGGACATGGTTACTCGCTTTCCACATGGGTTACCTTTACTTGTGCCATGCACATCAATGCTCCAGGGCACAGATCACTTTCAGGGATAACTCAACCTTAAGGTTGACCTCTAACTCAAGGATGGCCATAAAACGTGTAAACTTGAACAGATGATTGAACTTTAATTACTCTCTTGAGCTCTATGTCAATGTACACTGCTGCTATCACTTGTTGCATTTAGGAAGGACATGCTGGGCTGATGCCCACTCCACCTGTCCAGTGTATCTCCACTACCTCACTGCCAATAATGGAATGGAATCCCGCCATGCACCTATCTTGGACTCCATGCGTGCATTCACTTAACTCTTCCTCTTCTGTACTTGTGCCCAGGCTGGGGACCTCTGCACACTGATATGCTCCCATTGCTATGGGAGATGGACTGCCAGGGGAGATAATACCGACAACATCTCCCTCTGTTCAAGAGGTTGTCCCACCTTTCACAGGTACACACTTCACAACACGCTGCTTGTTAGGCCTTTGTTACCTTTGGTAACCATTTACTGTCTTCATACCCCAAATGTGCTTACTGACCCAGGCTTGAACCACATGTGTGGCTTTCTAAGGGTAAATTCTGTGCAACCTCTGAGACTTATAGTACACCCTGTGTAAAAACCTTGTTTGAATAAACTTGTCCTCCGAGGAGATAACCAGCTTAGAACTATCCTCAAGGCTCTCCTCCTAGGACTCCTTAACAAGGGCTGGGATATCTGCCCTTTATTGTTCCCAGGGTCTATCCAGCTTGGCGGACTCCACCCTGAGCAAAGCTGAATAAAGTGCCGAGAGGGATTCCTGCAAGAGCAGGTCCTTAACTGGGTAAGCCTCTAGAGTAGGCGGTACAGGAAACTGGGACAGTGTCGCATGACGTAGCGGAGAATAACGAAAGTACATAGAGCGGGGCAATCCAAACCTACAAGAGAGTTCCCGAAAAGGACAAATGTAGCCCCCATAGCATAATGTCCCTGAGAATCTTAATTCCCTAACAGGCCCAAACTTGCAGGTTGGGGAGAAGCCTATAGTGTGGTAAAGAAGGGTTGCCCCAAAGTGGGTAATTTGGGAACCAATGGTTGGGCTGTCCGAAATGTATTCTAGCATTCCAAACTCTCAGTGTAACTCTAGTAGGGAGCAGGAGGGAAGAGTAGGCCCGGGAACCCCTATAGACAAGATTAGCCAACTCCATATGAGAACCCAATAGAGCAGTAAGTTTCAACACTTTAGTGAGAACTTAGGCTTGGCAGATGACAATGGTAACAGTCTGTTCTCTATTGGCCCTAGTCCCTAACTAACCGTTTCTAAAGCACATATGTGTGAACAGGATAAGATCCTGAGCTAATCCTGTCCTGAACCTGATGTAAACCTGACATGAACTGCTGAACAACTACTGTATCAATTACAGGCATACCTCAGTTTACAAATTTAATGCGTTCTGTGGGACTTTTTTTGTATTGCGAAAAATTCGTAAACCGAAATGCGGTTTCCCATAGGAATGCATTGAAAACCAATTAATCCGTTCCAGAGGTCAGAAAAAAGTTAAAAAAAAAAGTATTTTATTTGTTCAAAACTCTTTATAAAGTGAACTTTAAAGGCATAAATACTGTACAGGGACATGATTAAAAAAAATCTTGTAAATGCATTGAAAACCAATTAATCCGTTCTGGAGGTCAGAAAAAAGTCAAGAAAAGTCTTATCTGTTCAAAACTCTTTATAAAGTGCACTTTAAAGGCATAGTACTGTACAGGGACATGATTAAAAAAATGGAAATGCTTTGAAAACCAATTAATCCGTTCGTATTGCGAAAAAATTTGTAAACCAAGGCATTATTTTCAATGGATTTTCATTCGTAAAACGAAAATTACGTTAACCGAGGCGTTCGTAAACGGAGGTACTCCTGTGTATGTGAAACCTGAGCTACAATCACATGTGTGAAGCAGCTCTTATTGAAGGCACCGAGCATATGATGTTCTGTAAATATACTAAATTCTTGAGGATGTAAATAGCTAGCATATAACCATAATAGCAGCCACAAAGTGGCTAAAGGCAGCAAAGTTGATAAGGTACTTCACTAGATGGCCAAACCTTGCAGTGCCAACCTTCATATTTCTGTCCTGGCAGGCTCATTTTTAACACCTCAAGCTTTACCTCCTCCTGACCTCCCTCTTCCATTCTTCACTGCTATGTGACAGGCGCACATTAACTGTTATGGCTTAACTGCTAGTCCTTTATGCTATTCAGTAAAATCTCAGCAGCCTTCAGCATTGTTAAATAATCTCTTTGATGTCACAGAGGCTGCAAAATAAGAATCTGCAGTTTTTTCTCTCTGTTGTTTTCATGTTTATGGAAATCTAGCTGTTTCCACTTTGTACATTTTATGTAGTGCTTTTAGACAAGGATGAATCAGGCTTTTAAGATGGAACTGGAAGGAAAATCAACAATTCGGTTATACCAATTTAGGCTGATTACATAATCCTTTCAATTTTATCTTTTCTATTTGAATCAATTGAAGTATCTTAATAGACGTACAGTACATACAAGGTTTTTTGTGTGTGTTTTGTTCTTCTCGCTGCTCTAACCTTGGTCAAGTAATATGTTACATAAGAAGACTTCTTTTATTTGTCTACTAATGGCTATTCTTGTGGCCCCTTTTAGCCCAATAGTCCTCCATTTTTAAAAGACAGAATGAGCAAAAATGAGGCAGAGAGCCTTAGAGGGTAATTTGCCCTTTCGGTTAATAAAAATATTTTGTACTGTATATAAGAAATGAGCTTAAAGATGGGGAAGGCAATATGGTATAAGTGGTGATCCCACTATGCTATTTCCTGGGGTTGATTTGCACATCCAGCATGAAGTACATACAGCATCTAGGTACATATTTTTGGCATCAAGAATATGATGGCAGGTAATTATTTTCAATAATAAATAGTGGACGATTAACATAAATCTCCACACCTTCAACCCCTAATAATAACCTGACACTTAGGAGGAACCTAGTCTATCGGTGACCCGCCCAACACTGAACCCTTAACCTAACCATGAAATCCTAGGCACCTTTCACATGAGTGGCCCAATCAGGTCCGCCTGTCTGTTTTTCAGGCGGACCCAATCTGACCCTCTATTCTCCTCTATGCATCAATAGATTTTAAACAGATTTGCAGCCGTTTACACCCTCCTACCTCCAATTTGATCCAGCAAAAACAAACGGGAGGGGATTCGTTCCCCTCCATCTGGCCGGATAGGATCAGAGGGCAGTCTAGTATAAATGGACAGCTGGTCCGTTTACATCCCGCTGCCAAAGAGCAGAGTGGGCAGCGTCCATTTACACTCTTCATAAGCTGAGTGGAAATGAACTTGTCATCCCTTCACTCAGCTCAGCACGGGATTAGTGGACATAACCCCTGCTGTGAAATAGGAATCTGGTTCATGTTAAAGGGGCCTTATTCTTAAAACTTTACCTGTAACACTTAATGATGACAATACTATAAATAAACTTTGGGTCAGTCAGTGCTGGAACAAGGCTTTCTGGTACCCAAGTCGAAGATGCCCAACTGTGCCCTCCCTCCAAATGGAGATGGATAGAACTTGCATGTTGCCATGAACAATGGCAGTCACAAGCTGTTGGCTATGGACTTACCATAAGGGACAAGTGGAGTGGTTTTGGTGAAATTAAATTCACAGAAAATTTACATATTTTGCTAAATTTTTGTAAGAAGTAGCAACTCTCGTTTGTGCTCACTGAACTGCTTAGTCAAAATAAACATGAAAAAAAAAAGAATCTACATTTGTTTTCTTTACTTTATAGGATGTAGTATATATGTATTTAGGGTAGTATTTTCATTTTTTTGTGATTTTTTATGTTGATATTTTTTAACTTTTATGTATTCAAACTTGATTTATGTCCTGCATCTTTAAATGTTTGTTTGACTTGTTTAACTTTCTTTCAAAAATACATAAAATAGTGGGGCTAATGGGGAGTGGGCTTTTGGAAACAAAAACAAGATAGTTAAAGTGTTTCTAAACCCACAAAAATCAGTCTGTATATGCAGTAAAGCATGCTTGTTATACTCACTGTGGAACCTAAGGGGTTAATCCTCTGCATTGTGTAAAAAGACTGTTTGATCCTGACTCCTCTGATCCTTCCCTTCTTCCAGTGTCTCCCTCTTATCTCCTGATAAGATGTATCACGTGGAGACACTCTGCACATGCTCAGTTTGGTGTGTATTGCTAGAGAGGTTTTTTTCTTTTTCTTGGGAGAGTGCATGTGATAAGCACAGGGCCAATCAGCACTGTCCAGACAGAGGTCAGGGGTTCTGTATCCTCTTACAGCAGAATGAAAACTCCTCCTACAAGCTCTGCTGGACACTGATAGAAGTCACAATACTGCAATATACTGCTGGTGAGAAAAGGTATTTAGTTCCACTTTCTACACGTATGTGACAAACCTACAATTCACTCTAAAATCTACATCCCTAACCAATTGGGAAAAAACTCTTTCAGAACCAATTATGACACAAGCATGGGAAAAACATTTAACACCACTTACAAATCCTCCCGATGTAGTTCTCACTGGGAATCATACCTAACAATTCTACACCAATGGTACCTAACCCCTGTCAAACTAGCCATATACTACCCCAAACACTTCTCCTCTTGTTGGCGACAATGCAGAGACGTAGGATCAATATTACATATACTATGGTCCTGTAAATAAATCAGATCCTTTTGGAACAGTGTCTTCCAGTTAATCTCTGAAATATCCAAACACCAATAACCCCAAACCCCTCTCTTGCACTTCTACACATTGGGATTGAAAAACTCCCCTACAATTCCCCTACTATCACTGTCCACACACTTTTCGCAGCCAAAATCAATATAACTAGATTATGGAACACTCTCTCAAATCACTAATCACAGACCTTAATTTCCAATGTGAAATGGAAAAAAGATCCGTCTTTAACAACTCTACACAACACAAATTTAAACTCCAATGAAATCGCTGGTTACAAAATCCAAACTGCTCGGTACAACTCTGATACTATGCATACCACTGCATTACCTACCACCTTTAGACTGGTATCCCCTTTCTCCACCCCGTTACACCTATTCCCCCCCCCCTTCCCTATCCTTCCCCCCCCCCTTATTCAATGCCCAATTATCACCTCACACACCTTACCAAGGTTCTACACATAGCCAAGACTACCTCTGATGTTAATGCCTAAATCTTGCTATTAACCCCAGCCAACTGGTGGGGTAAATACTCGCTATCATTTTGATGTTGTATAAATACATTTGCTATTGAACCGATTATTCCTACTATATTCTGTTCTTGAAAATCTTCAATAAAGAATATTGAAATAAAAAAAGAAAAGGCATTTAGGTTTATATTTACTAAAATAATTGCATTTACATGTTCTGTGTACTGTGGGAAACCAAATATTGTGAATACAGAGTCACTTGGTTCAGGGACCATATCCCTCAGGAGTCAATGAGAACCCATAGCACCCTTTAAAATGACCAAAAACAACCTTAATTTCCTATTCCTATTGATTACAATAAATTTCATCTAAATAAATAGTAAGGAAAGCTAAAATTATTATTACAAAACTATTTCAGTTTGACCAATTGTTAAAAATGATTTATACATAAAAGCTACACCTTCTAGTCTTCATTTATAAATGACACTGCCAGTCCAACCCTACAGTTTACACTGGGGGAGCCACTTTCCTAGTATAATTGGCAAGGCTGAGCTGTCATTTTGACAGCCTGGAGCAACCAGGAGGTGGCTGGGATCATGCAGAGCTAGGAGAGGCTTCCACCTACGTTGTACCATTCCCACAACAGCCCTGTCTTTTATATTATCACCCACTATATACCTCAGATCAGTGGCTAATTTTCACCACGGGTTCACACATGCTCAGACTGCTCTTCTATTTTCTTCACTGAGTTGGTAAATATGTGGCCTTTTCCCTATTCCCACTTTCTCTGAAATTTACTTACAGCAATAAACTTGTTCTGTAGGATCCTCTGTATAGAGAGGTACTAGTAAAATATAATTTGCAATAAGACTGCTGGTGACACAGCCCCATGCAAATATCATATGACCAAGTTTATACAATGCATGGGGCAGTGTCTGTTGGACATCAGCAGATTTACTTTGGTGTGTATTTCAGCAGGACCACTTCATTCATAGTTTCTTACCTTCATAGCTGGTAAGGTTAAATAAAGATGCTAGTCCATCCAGTTCAACCTGTGTGAGTGTGTGTATTTATGTCTCTACCATTTCCAATAAGTTGGCCATCTAATTTTTTTTTTTTTAATTAGTGACTCTTCCTGCTGAAACCACCAATTTTGGGCTTTCCACATCCTTACCATTCTAACAGAACACACCCACTTATGGAGTTTAAGGTTAAATTGCTTCTTGTCCAACTTCATTTAGTGTCTTCTTGAGTGACCTGAGATGGAATAGTTTCCTCTCAATGTAGGATTCAACATTAAGATATTTGTATATTGCTTCATATCTCCTCTTAAGTGTCTCTTCTCCATTCATAGCATTCCTCAGAATTATTAAGGCATTAGAGGGCCATCAAGAGATGTTTCTGGTCCACAATTTGCAGGATGTCCTGTATTTATTAAGCTAAAACACTAAGCTTCACAGTTGCTTCTTTTCTATTATTTGAGAATTGCAAGTTCAGGGATGTGCCAGAAAAGCAGTCACAAAAACAAAAAAATCTCCAAATAATAATTTGATGGCTATAGCTAAACCCAGTCTTCTTACTTACATTTCTTCATTGTCACTTGTTTTGCATTTCCTTTATGACCTGTTCTTCTGAATTTGTTGCAGCTGGAGACACAATGTACAGAACTTAATAATGACAAGTATGAAACGAAAGCAGAGAATGAAAAGCTCAAGCTGACAAACAAAGAGATGAGACGAGACCTGGAACGGACTTCTCAGGAGTTACTAACCGCTCAGAGTCAGCTGAAGATTCTGCAGGAAGAGGCTTCCCAGCTGCATGAGGAGAGAGAAATGTATATACATCACATTATTATCATTGTCATCAACAAAGTTATTAGGACGATTTCTCTGAATGAAATAGTTTATAACAAGAGTTTGTTGTTCAGAGGCATTTGTAAAGGGAACATAAATGGGGGGATTTACTAAAACTCGAGCACTCAGAATCTGGTGCAGCTGTGCAAGGTAGCTACTCAGCTTCTAACTTCAGCTTGTTTAATTGTTGAAAGCTGATTGGTTTGTATGCAGAACTGCACCAAATTTCACACAATCCAGTTTTAGTAAATCTCTATCAAAGTGGTTTTATTATATTTTGGACCTAAAATGCAATTGAACAAAAATTGTTTTGTCAAGTGAAAACTTATTAATATGACATATAAATACGTCCTCTTTATTTTTCAAGCCAAACAGTAGAACTGTATCCCCCTTTTATGCATGTTTACCAGGCTAGTATTAGCTGCCCTGCTAAAAAGAAAGCCTCTTTATGGAGCTAAATAGCTCAGACTGATAGTAACAGGGGAAGTGACACATCACTCTCCAATAATGCTTTGTATGGCTCTGTATGGGTTTTCAGCTAAAGACAAAGTTGGTTGAAGACAGACGTAAAGCAGGGGCACACTATCATGGATGGGGAAAGGAAGGGCGGGGGTTTAAGCCTCCGTTAGTCCATGATACTGTAATGATTTTTAAAATAACTTAATAACTTATTTTTTTATAAACTGTAAAATTATACAAAAAGAAAATATAGATATATCTTTTTGTATTTTAATAAAAAAAACTGCATGCCCCCAGGAAGAGTCTGACATAGAAGGGCATATGGTATTCCTGTAGCTAAAGGTAACTGTGCTCTTTCACATATCCCTATATCCTAACCCCAGTGTTTTTAAGGATAAGTTCACTTTTTTACACCATGTTCTGCCCCCCCCCCCCTCGCCCCCTGCCCCCCCTTTCCCTATGACAGCAGGCAAAGGTTCCTCTCCCCTGCAGCTACTGTCACATTTAAAATAGTAGTGAGAGATTGGATATTCTGTTAATTTTTTCCTTTCTCGTACTGGGGAGATTCACCCCTCTATTTGTTTTGGGGACCGCTGTCACCACCACGATAGAAGGTGAGAGATAATGCAAAATTTTAAAGTTGTCACTAGAGGGGGATAATATCCAATGAGGACACCCATTCCAGTCACAGATTTCTTAGAGTCCTTTCCTTGTTTCATCAGTTCAGACACATTTTTCAATGAAAAATGAAAAAGGGATTCAGTTTACATCAGTTTTACATCAGTTTTCCTTTAGTTTTTACATCAGTTTTGTCTATCCACTAGAAATAATTGAGTACTGACATGATAATTTTTTTATTTGCACTAACATACAATTTTGAGGACAAGCTTTCGGGGTATGTCCCCTTCTTCAAGGTCCAGGCAGTACTACAAAGTTTTAGCAGAATGTTAGGAGAGATGTTGAAAGGGGGAAGAAGAAAGAAAACAGAAAGAAACACACACAAACAGATGTACACAGCAATGGTTATAAGATTAGCATTAGACTAGAGATAAGACACAGCAAAAGCAAAGACTGGGGGGAGGGGGACAACACTCACAGAGGGGGTCATAAAACTGTTGGATAATGACTGAGGAATCCCATGTCCAAATTAAGGCCGTTATCTCTTGTGTCCAATAGAATTATCATTCTTAGTTCAAACATTTTCCTTTCCTGAATAGATTTGAAATTTCTTTTAGGAACTAAGATATTGAAGTCTTCCTTAGTGTGGTCTGGTTGTGCAAAATGGTGTCCCACAGGTGTGCAAAAGTCATCTTCTTTATGTTCCTTGATGGTATGTCTGTGCAAATTCATCCTTGTTTGCAGCTTCTGTCCTGTTTCGCCAACATAAGATCCTTTGCTACATTTTCTGCACTGGATAAGGTACACAATATTACTAGAGGTGCAGCTGTATGATCCGGAGATATTGAAGATCTTGAAGAACTAATACGGCTACAATCACCTCAAGTATATACACTACCAATGCAAAAACAAACCGTTAGTCTGTTTACATCTATTTTTCGTCCATTCCAGTTTTTTAACAGAACAAAAATAGACTTTGATCATTTTAAAAAACAGATGTTGATGAATGTGGATGTAAATGGATGTAAATGGATAATTATCCGTTTATATCCGGTTTTTCCATGATGATGGGATGCATTGATGTCCATTTTTCATGCGTCAACAGATGGATGAAAAATGGACAAACGGAATACCCTCATGAAAGGGGCTTAATGCAGGAATTGCCCTAATTTTTGGTAATATTTGCTCCCCACATCCACTTGTATCTCCAGGACAGGAAGAAATGGGAGACTACTCAGAAAAAATAACCAGGTAGGAGTACTTTACTACTCTAATCAAAATGTAAAATAAAGGTTTATCACGGAGATACTCTTTAAAATTCACTGTTCATTGGAATCTCAAGGTTGTACCTCCTGTTGCCTTGTAGGGATTGCTGCCTAGTGGTAATACTGGTTTCCTGGTTTTAAAGAATTAGGGCCTTAGTGTGTCTACCTTCCCATCACATCTGAAAGGCAGTTTTAAATCAGTAACCAAAAAGCTCTTTTTTCATAAACCAAGAAAAGCTTTCTATCGTGTGCTTTATGCGTCAGTCAACCTAATAAAGTGTGGTTACAGACACCAACAAGCTGAGGCTCCCTCTGACTCCTAGCCATCAAAGCCATGGTGGGCATAGACATCAAATTATTGTGCATGACCAAATTTAGAGATTGATAATTTGTCTATCAGCAGCCCTTCTATTTTTAGAAATTGCTACAAAATCATTATAGGGTTAAACAAAGCCTGAACAGGACTGCCTTCATATAAAAAGTTTTTGCCTGAACTGGGATTCTTCTTTAGATAAGAAATCCACAAGTTGACACTGTTGACTTGTTTTTGAAGGTGCATGAAGGTACATGTTCCTGAACCATTATCCTCATGCTCTATTCACTACTTAGCAAGGTACTGCCAATAAAAACATACACATGCTGGTGCCCTTACACTTCACCAACTACTTAGTCTGGGTCCTTGATACAACAGGTAGTAAAGGAATCATTAAAATGACAGCCCTGAACTTTGAACCTTTAAAAACAAGATCAAAATGAAAGCTCCCATAGTTCCATCTTACAGGTTTCCTTTATAAATGCTGGATTGATTTCATGTTGCACTTTGATGTCCTGTGTACCAAACTATGGATCAATTCTAGAAGAGTCAGCCATGGTTGGAACTGTTTACTATTCTATATTTATTGTTTCCATCACAGGGAAGTATATCGGGTAACAGAGAGTTTACAGCGAGAAAGGACCGCGCTGCTCAAACAGCTTGACTTGTTAAGGTACTTATCCGGAGTGAAATGTTGCACAGTTCACAACAAAATGACCCAGCACTTACCCCTTCTAACTAGTGAACAGGAACTGTCTAATGTCTTTTTAGTATAAGTGAACTCCAATCCAAACCTTTTTTTCTGGTATCACAATTCTCTCTTAAATTAGGATTTTCACTGGTATTATGAATTAAAAATCTTAATCTCACTCATCCCCAGACAAGATGTGTGTTTCGCAACATCTTCCCAACAGGGACACTGACAGTAATAAAACCCAGTTACTGAGGGTATAGTACTTCCACATGCCAACCAAACCTAGTGTAGCACCCTCATAGTGTAGAGAAGCTGCTAGACCCTCTGTAATCAGTGGAGCAGGGGTTGATTGGTTAGGACTGCTCAGTGTTTCACAGGCTGGTGATCTGTTGCTTCCCCCTGTCTCCTAGAAGATTATAGAACTATAGCGGGGAAGAACAGAATAGACAGCCTGAATATTTATGGAACTCCAGCCAATCCCTGGGGAGGTGTGCCCAGTAGGTAATGAGGGATTCCATAAGTAGTCTGAGGCAGCAGTGCAGTGTTCCTGGGTCCAGTCCTGCAGGAGTGGACTGCTCTGCAAGGGCTGTTTCCCTGCTGAAGAATTTTGTGAGGAAGCTTTTAGGAAGACTCCGAGGTCTCAGCTAAGCTTAGCTATGGGGCCTATTCGCAAGTTCAAGCTTGGGGATCAAGTTGGGTCTGAATAATCTCACTGGAGAGAGCCAGGAAGATGTTGGTGGGAAAGAGTCCAGCTGTACTATGGTGGTGTGAGTCTACATCTCCCTCACTAGGAAGAACCTGGTGGATATTGGCAGGAGGCAACCAATGATCATGTGGCTTTGTGAGAATATGACCCCAGCGCTGAAGAATAATGACTGTTTGTAGCTATAACTCTGAAAGGAGTACTAGTTGAGGAGTCCTCTAGTTGTTTAGTCTAGTTTATCGGGGTATCCTATGCTCCCTATCCAAGTTCATCATTCCCAATAAAAACCCCCAAAAACTGTTCTTTGGTGCAGTGGAAGAGTGCAGCAGAACATGCGGTGTGCTTGGCCGTGTATGCTCTAAGGGGGAAATAGGACTAAATTCACCAGAGGTGCTTTAGGGGGTGCGCTACACTAGAAAAATATTTTTGCTGTAATTCAATTTCAAAACAAAACTCAAGGTCTCAGCTGTGTATACAGTATTTGCGTTTCCCGCACCACATGGGAATGCTCTGCCCTTGTTAGGTGCGTGCAGGTGTCTTTAATTGTTAATGGCATTCCAAACGCATCTAGGAACCTTGACACTTTGCAGCCACCAAACCGCATGGTACTGCAGTACCATGTGGTCTGCTGTGACATGATTTTAGACTGGGTTCACATTATTCCTGATCCTGATTCCAGAATAAATTTTAATTCCTAATGGTACCTACACGCATTGGAAGTAGAGGTTTATTTTCAGGTGCATGAAACCCAAAGCACTATGCAGTTCCATGTGGCCATGCTTTCAAAAACAGGCCAGGGACAATTTCTCTGCGGGAAATACAAGTACAGCAGCCTATTAAAATGAA